AGTAAGACATCCTTATTGTTTATATTTAATAGTGTAATTTAAGGGCTCAGGACTTTAAAACAGTGCTACATAAATATAAGAGAAAGTTAAGATTTACTTACAGCCAAGTACATTGCTCCGTACACACTGAGAGCTGCTTCTTTGGATGGAAATGTTCTCCTTGCTTTGATAACAAGGTCTGGATTTCCTGTACAAGCATTGGTATCTGTGATAAACTGTGTAAGTTGGTTGCAACCAAGTGCTGTGTAGTTCGGTTTGCAAACTGTAAGAAAATGTGGAGCCAAGTTTCCCGTGACAACTTGTCCAGCGTTTACAAATATATCTGTAGCAAATAATCCAAAAGTATAAATTCCTGGAAAACAAAAGTAAAATTATTGTTTTAGAATATGAGCCGTATACACTGGAATTTTGTATTACAGTAGCAAGAATTTACAAAGACAGATACAGTATATCTTAATTGAAGTGTTAATGCGCAAATCAAGCCAAACATTTTGTTTTGCATTTAAAAAAAGGGACATTTACTACCACTTCCTTGGACACAACCGGAACTAGGATAGGGTGCTACAGCTTGTACAGCTCTTTTTAGCCCTGTAAAGTTGGGAAGTGTGAGGTAAGCTTATTGTGTATTATAGTGCTGGGAAATTGCATGGCCTAGTGGGTAGAGGAGGCAATGACTGTTTTTATATCATTTGTATTTTTGAAGATGAGTGCCAGGCAAACAGCTACCTTCACAGATGAAATAAACACAAGTGAGCTGTTTTACCTGCCGAAGGATTTTTTTAAATATATATTCATTCAGTTCCGAGTTATACAGAGCTCTCTCTTTCACTCTGCTCTCTCCTCTTATCAGCATGGTCCTTGCACTGCAGCACAATTGATTGACTCCTTTTGCTGTTTTTCCCTCTCCCTGTTTGAGCTCTTCTGTACAGGGAACTGCAAGAGGTCGATACAGGGTCAAATTTAGATACTTATAATACTTGTTTGGTTTTTTTAAATTTATTTAAGCATTAACGGATATAAGCCTGCATTAATTTGTGTCTTTTAAATCTACCTGGAGTTTTGTTTAAATGCATTTTGCATTAAAGCTTTTTTGCTGTTTTATTGTCCAAATAAATAAAAAAATGACCCTACAGCAAGACCCAGTGCTAACATCTCTTGGCAGATTAGTGTGCTAGCTTTTTTAAATGGCACAGCTACACAGTCTAGCAAAAGTTCATGGGGATATGAAATTGCTTTGATGCAACACAGAATCTATATTATTAGCAAGTATTAAATTAATTGAAGCTATTAATTGCTGGAAAAATGAGTGCTAAATTGCTGTTTAGGAGCCTGTAAATAAGTTTATCATTTCACGGAATGTTAAGATTTAGAAATAATTAATATTTACTAATTGGCACCACAAATAACAGAATGATTATTATAAAACCTGTTCTGAAATGTGCCCTGCCTTCATTAAAAAAAAAAGGGAAATCGGGTTTTTCAATTGTTATCTGATTGTCATGCATCCACCTGGGATGTGTAAATGTTTAAAAATAGAATATATCTTTAATGAATAATACCATGTGAATATATGAATATTACATAGAGTATGTTATGGATATTATCACATTGAATAGCGAAACACTTTCATATATAAAATTCTGAGGGAATTGTCACATTAGATCTTCAGCAGGTAGTCAAAGATGATGGTGTGCAGACTTTTGATTTTACATGGAATAAAATGGATGTTCTCCTTCAGATATTTAATATACTTGCTATGGAGACGTTTGTAGTAGCAGAGCTATGGAGTGCAACTGCAGTTGGATTAGCAAGGGAAAAGCAAAAGTAAAAGCAGTGATTCCTAAAAAGGCACACTGATGGCGCTACTTTACTTTTATAAGTGTATATATTGTAAAGCACTGCACAAACTGTTGGCGCTATATAAATCCTCCTGAATAATAATAATATAATAATAAATGCATAAAATACCACAGTCTGTCCCATATATTCATATAGTGTCTACATTATAGATTCTTTCAATGCCAATGTTTATTCAATTGGGGAGTATGATAAATTCAGCACAGTACTATTATTTTTGGGGGATTCCACAATTGATGATTTACAAAGACATTGCCATTGCTCCCTTCATTATCATATACATTTAAATTATAAACCCAAAAGGCCAAATGCACTTGTGACAGAATGTATCAGATAAAGTGTAACTACAGGTTTTTTAAAATTAATTTTTGCCCCTTCCATATGAAAGAAGAATGTGGCCAAGCTGCATTACCCTCTCCATGCTCCAGTGCTGTCCCTAGCTTCCCCCTTCATCCAGCACTGCTGGTCCTCTTTGGCAGAACCACAGTCATGTCATTTTGCCCATTTCTTGTGAGTCCAACCTGTCGTTGACACACCATGGGGGTTATACCATCCTGGCTTACCCAACTCCCAGATTGAGTGGCATTCATACATCATTATGTGAGCACTGCTGAGCCCAGATAGAATGTACACCCCCAACCATCACCGAGAAAAAGAGATTGCTTTTGTGACATTACCAGGCTGGCTAGAAGACTGAAAGAAAAGTTATGTATAGGATTTTTTTTAATAAAAAAAAATATTGGGCGCGGGGGGCTATTCTAGTTTTTTATTTGTTAGTATTTGATTTTTCTTCATTGGTCTTTTATTATTTTTAGTAGTGCAACTGATTCTGACAGTTACACTTTTAATAGATGGCACCACAGATGAACACTGCAGGCTGAAGGCTTTCATTTTTGTCATTTCATTTTCCAGCCTTAGTTTGATCATTATGTCAAACCTTACATTGTGATCACGTTATTTAGTAACCACACTGATTGGTGTCAGCTCTTTCTCCTGTTTAAAAAAAAAATGCAGTTCTTACAGAGTCTTCCAATGGGGATACCTATTTAAGTTATGAGGAGCATTTTCTTTATTTTTTAGAGCTTTCCTCATTGCGTTTTTGTTTAGGAACTGAAGGGAAATCTCCCAAATGAGATACAAATGGCAAAAAATAACCTAACATAGTTTTATAACTTCCCTACCCTATCCAAAACTAAACAAGTTTTAGTTAAACACACACTTTGAGATTTGATGGCAGACACTTGAATAGGTTAGACTTACACAGGAGCCAGGGCCGTCTTTAACGCAGGGCAAAAGGGGCAGTCGCCCAGGGCCCAATCATTGTTGTGGGGCCCAAAGCAGCTGCCCCTTCAGCCCACATAAGCAGTGGCGGAACTAGGGCCTCTAGGGGGCCCAGCAACATGAAGACAGAAGACCGGCCAGAGGAGGTAAGGGGAGGTAAATAATTCATTAAAATAATTATTATTTGTAGCCTAATGTTGTATAAAGTACTGTTGCAGCAATGCACAATGGCACCCTCTATAGAGGACTACAAATCTCAGCAGTACTTTATACAGAAATGCTATTGTTATATAAAGTATTGTTGGGATGTGTAGTCCTCTATAGGCTTTGCCATTCTGCATTGCTGTAAATATTAGGGTTGCACCGATATATCAGCCGCCAAACGATATCAGGCGGAAATGGCACTTTTGTCTAAATGCCAAAACTACAATTTTTCTGCTGATACAGCAGCTCATCCCTGCTTTCTTTCCTCCCTGCTGGGCGCTGCTCTGTTTCCCAGCGGGGAGGAGAGAAAGTGACAGCCGACCGAGCGCTGTGTTTTTTTTTTTGGGGGGGGGCAAAAAAAATCTTGCACCAGGGCCCTTTGTTCCTTAGGTCCGCCACTGGTGTTGCCCCCACCTCTTCCGTATGCTGCTGTTAGGGCCGGGGGGGGGGCAAGAAATTGTTTGCCCAGGGTCCAATCAGTATTAAAGACGGCCCTGACAGGAGCTCATTCCTGCCAATTTATTATTGCTAAACTGATGGTTTAAATGGCAGCATATGCAGTAAGCTACACTAGCTACACTAGCTACACTAGTAGCATTCAGTAGGTGCACACAGGCAGGGTGTGCCTATTTGAGCCAGACATTCTCTATAGCTTGTGGGCACAACTTGTAATGGGAGCTCAGATGTAGGAAAATGTAAGTAAGAGTATGTGCAGAACTATTTATTCACTGTCTAATGCGGTCTGTGTTTCCTTTGTAATAGTGTGGCTTTAAACAATGTCTGTCCAATATTAAACATAAAGTAAATAAAGGCAGCATCTGAAATCATTTTTTATTTAAGGTTCTTATTTAAAGGGGAGCAAGCTTAATTATACCAAAAGGTTATACATTTTCAACAGCAGGCTTATCTCCGAAATGCAACACTTACAGGTTGGGCTAAAATTTGATGTCACCTGCTGCAGTGTTTTTCCCATGCAATCCTATGAAGAACCTCCTAAATGGCACCAGATTCAACTGGTGCTGGAGAAAAAAAAAACTTGGCCTATAACAACCAACAAGGGTCACCGAGATCTCAAAAGACCAGAACAGAAATCAAACCTTGCCCAATTCACTCAAACGTAAAACATTTTGGTTAGAGTTCTTGCTTGAGCATCTAGTGTTCATAAATGTTACAGTAGCATTCCACAGAAAATATCCTTGCTATGCATGCTGTAGTTTTATTTTCTAATATGCACAAGGCCAGCTACAGTTGCAATTTTCTACTGTGAAATCCAGTAATTATCTTTAGCAATTTTAGCACTATTAGTGTAGAATGATCAAAAATGTAGTTTCAAATGTTATGTCTATAGTCCATTAGATTAATAGAACTGAAATACATTAATATGCTTTTTAGGGATGAGTCAATCAGCCTTGGTTCGGTTCACAGCAAAGCCTGAAAAATACAAACTTTAATCTGAACCTCCTTAAAGTCTATATGGGTCAAATCTTGAAAATTAATAATGGCCATTTTCAAGTCTTTTTAAAAAAAAATACTTTTTATTAACAATTTTTCCTTCTTGACAAAACATTACATTTAAAAATACAATTACATACATAAAAAAGAAGAAAAAAAGAAAAAAAAAAAAAAAAAAGGTAGCAGCAACACCCCCCCATCAAACATATACACATAGTACCTCCTGACTTTGCTCCTTGTTGTTTAATCCCTCTAAACCTCTCCTCCTCTAAACCTCTTTTCAAGTCTAATAGGTAAGGGATTGTCAAATAAAGGGCATGGGGAGCTGGGTGCTGCCATTGGGAGAATGCAAAACATTTTTTTTAAATGCCATACAGCGAGGTGGGGGCCCTCTTTTTTATCTGACTTCAGGGGTGACATGGAAAAAACACTATTGCTTTATATCACATATTTGGGAGATGCTTTTAAGCTGCATGAGGTCTTATGGAAAACTATGATCTATCTATCTATCTATCTATCTATCTATCTATTGTAATGTTGGGGAGGTTAGCACAAATGGCGAGCGCTTAGGAACCAGTCTTGAAGCCGTTGTAACATAAAAAGGACAGTCTTTTATTTCTTACGTAACAGAAACACAGCTTTCTTCAGTGTCAAACATAAGGTTTGCTTGTTTTCTAGCAATAGGCAATATGACAGTGTCTCACCAACTCACGGTTGTCACATATACTCTGATGTGTCCTAGTCCTAGGACTGTTAAAGTGTTTCATCAGCAAGACTCCTTAGAAGTATGCTCTACCCTTTAGCAGCCTCCCACGCCTCTAATGCGACTCCTCCAACCCTTGTGTGTAACAAACTCTCCAAGCCTCCTTCGCTGCCTTCCATGTGCCTCCAACACATACATAGCCTCCTGGCTTCACTCTGGCTTCTGGGTGGAGTCCGCCTGACTCCTGGACACAACCTGTCCCTCTTCCCAGCAGGAGCCCTGATGAGGGATGCACACAGATGCACAATCAGGTGCTGGCTGCCACTAAAGCATGGACCCAGGAATGGAGATTTCATCCCACCCAGAGCTGTAAGAAATCTCCTGGCTCCAGGATCCCAACTATAATCCAGAAAACCTGGAAAGGACTGAGAAGCCAGCTCTTTCCTGGTACAAGCAATTGCTTCAGGGAGCCACTCAGCCTCTCTGGCTGAGAATCCTGGGTGACTTTTAGGCCTTTTTGGAAAAAAGAATATTGTAGGTAGTTTTGGCGTGCAGTTTTTCATATAAACAAAATCAACACTACAGTGTATATATTTCACAGTAATATTGTATAGACTCCATAGACAGTATTTAAGGATGTGGAGAAGGCCATATAAGAACATGCAGCCTGCAGCTTTCTATAAAAAATTAACACTAGAATGTTTACATTTTACAGAAAAGTATTGTACAGACTCCATACCCAGTATTTTGGTACTTTGATTAGACCACATATTAAAAAGTCTCCTCCGCATTTTAACCAACAACAGGATTGCAGCCATGCTGGGCATGCAGAGGGGTCCAGCCACTTTCTAGAAAGGCAACCAAGAGGTTTCCCCACAGTATCCCTTCCAAGTGGCACATTTTTACTTCCCCTGGGACGGCAGCATAAGATATGCTATTTTCCCCTTTTATCACAAATCAAAAAGGGTGGTCCTTCATGTCCCTAATCCGGGGGTCCACACGGAGGAACTGCTGAATGAGTGAGCCCATTCCCAACAAATTTCCTTTTGCTCAGAGCCCAAAGTCTTTAATTGCTGAAGACAATGGTGTCCTCAACAATCTCACCCCACCCATATACAACTCTGAGGGTTTGGGAGGGATGAAACATACCCTATAAAGCCTGCCCCATATCCTCCTCCTCACCTCCGGCACCCCAACACTTCTACTTTTTCTCTGCCTGCTGCTGTCTCAGCCTCACAAGAATGGAGTCAATTGTAAAAGAATTCAGCTGGCCCTAAGTGAGCAGGAAATCCTCTTCTTACTCCTGTTGCTGTGCCTCCAGTGCCCAGGTGTTTGCATCACACAGTGTGTGCTCCAGCAGGAACACCAATGAGATCATGGTACTAATCTCCACCTTGTTATCATTCTGATCACATCTTCAAATAGTGAAAACATGGTACACACATCCTGAATCAAGAGCCACTGGCATGGTGAAAAGAACCCCAGATTCAAAAAGCCTTTCCTCATCCCATATGTAAATACTCCTTGTCCCCCAGGTATATCAGCTGCAAAACAGCATGGGAGCATTTTGCTTGGGCCGTTGCATGTTTTTTTGGTTGCTTGGGGTGGGAATGATAATTGAGGAGAAAGAGGTAGAGGTGACTCAGCTGTCAACATCATCATAGTGCAGCACTCAGGCCAGTATCAACAGCACTAGAAGTGTGTACCCCATCCTGGATCCTTCCCTGCCAGTAGCAAGTTTACTCAGTGCACTATAAAGGAGATGTAATGTTGGAGATGTAATGTTCCTGCCCATGCTTGCTGAACCACATGTCTAGGATCACATGGACCCTATCACTGACTGTGTGGTCCAGCATCACAGAGACATTGCCTTCAATATGCTGGTGGAGGCCAAGGATGGCTTTGTGGGTGAAAAAATGGTAGCTGGTACTTTCCACTGTGGGGCAACACAACTTACTGAAGGGGCAGACTCCTCCAGCTGGAATGAGAACAACAGTAAAACCAGCAATTTTGTCAAGCTGGCATTGAGATGCTGGACAAAGTGGTGATTAGGTGAGAATTTGTATTCACTCCAGCAGCTGGGAAAGAGACACCTGCCTAGTCAAGGATTTTGCTAGAGATGTCAGAGTGGGGTTAGGAGGCTTACAGTGAGGTTTAAGCCTACACACTTCCCCTCTTGATGTGCAGTAAGGTAAACATCTTAAATCTCTTGATATAACTCCATCCCTGTCACTTGAGGCCACAGGTGTTACCGCAGATACAGATGGAACGTCTTTTGGAGTAGGGGAAGAGTTGGAAAGGAAGAAGTGAGGATATAGAGGAGTGCTTGCACTTTACGGTTGTTCATGATGTGCTGCACCCACCGAGCTTTGTGTTGAAAAATCCGTTACATGTTTCCTCATGCATGGTGAACCCAAAGGACTGGTACAAAACACCTAAACCCAACCCCAAAATACTCAACCCCCAACCCTAAATCCCAACTCTAATTTATTTACGCTTAACTGAACGTAAAAAGGAAATTTGACTATTGGCCCTTTTAAGCCTCCTGACTACAATTTAGAAACCAGGAAGTGTATTGTCGGTATCTGGTTGCTATAACAGTGAATGGCCACATTAGTTTCTCGAACTACAAATTAATTGAGTTCAGGTCAAACGTATAGTTGACCTGAACCTGAAACTCATCCCTAATGATTTTTTTTTCATCAAATACATGTCTCTTTAAAGAGCAAATGAAACCAAATTAGAAAAAGTTTTTTAAGCTTATTAGAACTTACTTATAAAGTACGGTCTAAGCGATCACCACAAGGTGGCGATACATAAAAGGATATCTTCAGTATAGAGGGACTGCTAATGGTGGTGCAAAATAGGCTCCAGGTTCTGTTGATATGCGATCAGCTCATCCAGAGAGGGAATCAAGCGAACCTGGAGTCACAATTAGCAGTCCCTATATACTGAAAGTAACCTTCTATGTAGCGCGTTTCTACAAACAAGATTGCTACTGTTTCCTCTACTAATACTTTGCTGACTCTATAATATACTTTGTATACACATTTTTAGATCTGGTGTATCGAGGAAACCTAGTGGTGAGCGCTTAGACTAGATGGTATAAGTAGGGTTTGTATTTTTATTTAGAACACTTACTAGTCTTTTTTAGCTCAGGTCATAGAAGATACTGGTTTTTAGGAATATATTCTCTACTCCATCAGTATCTATAATTGTTTTGGTCTCCCCTATTAGAATGTATTCCCAATACATTATACTATTGAGGACTTCTCTGTATCTATAAAATTGTTTTGGTCTCTCTTATTATAATTTTTTCCCAAAACATTATAATATTGAGGACTTCTCTGTCAAAGGAGAACATAGACACTTTTTATAAGGTGTGCAGTAAACCATGTTAGCCAATAAGATGTTTGATTGCTATATTTTTAGTTTCTTTTTTTGTGCAGATGAGCTCCTATTATAGAGCAAAGGATGCACAACCAAAATTCTGCTAAAGTATATCATTAGCATACAAAACATGAATGTCAAAATGTTGAACTATAAAATACAACTATATAAGATCTAACAATAAAAATATATGCAAGGGCAACAAATCTCAGAAGTACATCTCTCTAAAATTGAACATGAAAGTAATAAAAACTCTTACCCAGAAATCTGACGGTTCTGCGCACCAGTGGATTAATATAGCAACAGTCTCCAGTTAAAAGAGTTTTTTCTTGGTTCTCAAAGTCTCTTGTTGCTACCTGTAGGCAAAATACTACAGTTTCTCCAACGATAATCTAAACAGGAAACATAAAGAGCAAGACATGGTTAACATAAAATAATAGGTATAGTGCATGAAACATTGGTTTAATAATAACTGTGACTAGAGTTAATTCTAAACCTCTAGTACATAAAAGGCATAGTGAAAATGAATTTTTTTTATTGCAGCCTATGAAAATTAACAGCTGATGAGCTGACTGTAGCCAACAAATGATTTTTTTAGATATAGTATTACTGTTCAGATTTTAGACTGGCTTGGGATGCACCAATACCAATATTGGTATGGGTAGCGGTTCCTAAACTGAGTATTTGGGCGAGTACTCGTACTCGCCCAAATACTCTGATACTTACCCCGATACCAGAACTTCCGACCGGCAGTGCCGCGAGGGAGCATGGAGCCAACTTCCTTCATTTGTTGCTAGGAAGCCTGACTTTCTGACCAATCAGGAAGCTGGGGTGGTGGGTCATGCCCACCTTCCAGCTTCCTGATTGGCTAGGAAGCTGGCTTCCCTTATTGCTAGGCAGCCTGGCTTCCTGACCAATCAAGAAGCTGAGCGGCATGTCATGACCAGCCTCCCGGCTTCCTGATTGGCTAGGAAGCTGGCTTCACTTGTCACTAGGCAGGCTGGCTTCCTAAACAATCAGGTCAGGCACGTCATGACCCGCGTCCCAGCTTCCTGATAAGCCAGGCCCATAGTACCTTGGGATGCCGGTATCGGAATTCGGTATCGGCGAGTACTAAAAAAAATGGTACCTGTACCTTTTAAACCCCAGAGCTATAGGTTATATTTCTTTGTCAAACACTCGTATGTTGAGTTGGATTGTGCCCTCTTTTGTCTCAATTAAGGTGGACCTATCAGTTACTTTACAAGTGTGCAAGAATAAATTCCTCACATGTCACACAACACAGCAACAATATCATTTTCCAAAAAACTGTGGTATTTATTAAAAACCAGTCCTTGAACTCCAGTCAAGTGATTGCGACTAGGCTGAATTCATTTGATCAATTTTTTACAGCCAGGAAAGAAGCATTTTCCAAAAAACTGTGGTATTTATTAAAAAACAGTCCTTGAACTCCAGTCAAGTGATTGCGACTAGGCTGAATTAATTTGATCAATTTTTAAAGCCAGGAAAGAAGCATTTCTTCAGTCCCTCCCCAGTCCCAATAATCAGACTGAAACATTGTAACAATTTAGAAGGTGTGAGGCAGCAGGGCCTGAACTGTGTTCTGAACACAGCCAAGAACTCTATAGGCAACTGGATTTACATGATTGCATCATCTCTGTTCTAGCATCTAAGTCCAGGAAACAGGATAAATGAACTTGAATTTCAGTAATGAATTGCAGAGCCATTTCTGTATTCTAATTCTCATTCTACTTGGGATTGTGAGATGTTATTGGCTCAACAGAATAATGACTTGCAGAGCTACTAATACATTTTGATACTCAAAAAGCTCACAAAGTCTATCATTTTGGAGTTGTGATATTTTCCTGAATTCCAAAGAGGAACAACAAGCCTAAGAGATCCTCTAATTAATCTCTGGGAATGTATGGAGGATTAAATGGAATCTCTATATTTTTTTAAATATTTGAATATGTTCACTTACATGTACATTATATGTTTTAAGCTGTGTTACACTCACCATCAATTACAATTTAATGTTATCTGAGAATCGTAATTTACTATTAGCTCCCATATTTTTTATACAACAATAATTTGAGAAAGTTGTAAAAAAAAATAAAGTAAAAATATGTACAACAGCTTGTAGTGTTCAGATCAGCTGGACTTGTTCTTTACCACACATTGAGGTGGTTTGTGGTAAAAAAGGTATGACATCAAGTACTTTTTTCACATGTTGCATGTTGGGATACACCACATTGCATTGTAACATACTAGTTTAAATAGAACTGCATGAAATATCACATTGAACATAAAAATTGAAAAAAAAGATCAAAACATGTGATGCTCTGAAATCAGCTCATTGAACCAATTCCTTCAGAGTGCACTTCAGTAGCCATGTGGTAGTGCGTTCTGCTGGTGTCATGGACCCCAATCTGATGTGTGTTATAGGATTCCATGATGATTGGATAAGGGTTCCTGAGTAAAGGTGCCCATACACTGCACGATTATCGTACGAAATGAAACATTTAATCGCACGATCAATGCTCGATGCCCCCATCTTGCACAGACCAAAGTCGATCGCTAAATCGTACGCCCGTACAATTCTGATCGACCGACGGTAGTGGTCGCTTGACCCCGAGCAGTGGGCGTCATCATTCGTACAATGCCCTTTAAAAGGAAAGAATTTAGAGCATTCTTTCTCTTCCCAGACTTGTTGAAAAGCAAAGGATGGCTGAGGATATGAATAGCATGGCTATTGTGATGGTTGGTGTTTCTGTCATTCAAGCTCACCGTCAACGCAGACTCTGGAGCAAGAATTGGTTGCGGCAACGTGACATGTATTTGCATGTTGCACTGCTGCAGGAATTGAGGGAGAACAACCCTGATTACTTCAGGAATTACCTCCGGATGTCAGATGCAGCATTCAACCACTTACTGGCTCTGGTGTCCCCCCACATCAAGAAGGTTGATACTGTGCGACGTAAGGCAATTCCTCCTGACCAGCGGCTCATAGCAACACTACGATTCCTCGCTACTGGTCGAAGCTTGGAAGACCTCAAGTTCTCCACAGGAATCTCGGCACAGGCACTTGGGCGCATCAAGCCCCAAACGTGTGCAGCAATCATCCGAGTGTTGCGTGACAACTATTTCAGGGTAAATGTTGTTATTTCACCTTATTAAACACAAATATGCTCTGAGACAGTTCCACAACACACATGTTTTATTGGTTGCACATGGTAATACATTAGCCATGCAGTTAGCCACAGCTTCGCCATTAAAGACTCGTGTACGATTTGTCCATGGGCCACCCCTGTGTGTCCTGCTCGGAGATGTCACAACCCCCCCCCAAACCTTTGTTCCTGCATATGGGTGTTGGGATGCTGTTGTACTTGGCCATGGGCCATGACATAGTGTGTCCCCGGATGCTCCCTGTGTGGGTGTTGCTGATGTAACACCCTTCATACGGGGTGTTGCTGATGTAATTACCTTAATACGGGCTCAGGCAACAGTGCACATGTGTCCCCACGTGCACTGTTGCCTGAGCCCGTATTAAGGTAATTGCGACTCAGCAAACCATTTTCTCTGTCGCGCATGATTTCGAGAACAATTTTCTGTGCAGACTGTCGTTGCTGCTGATCCATGGTGCGCATCTTCAGTGCTGCAACCTGGAAGAACAGGGTACTCTCATCTGGAACTTTCTCCAGGGCCGCAGATGTCTTGGTGAGGAACTTCTCAATTGCCCGGTCGGTAGCTGGCCTCATGAGTGTCCTCCTGGGAGGTAGTGGGGCAGTAGAGGGTCCTGTATACTCTCCTGTGTGCGTACATTGTCCTGTGCAGAGAAAGTACCCAAAATGTGTCAGCATAACGCATGTCTTGTCAAGTGTCACATATCTAATTACATTTCACTCTCAGTTCCCCACAGATGCAGCTTAATGGTAGCGGATTGGCAAGAAATTCAACGACCTGTGGAATTTCCCCAACTGCGGAGGTGCCATCGATGGGAAACACGTCTGCATCACACGTCCTGCCAACTCTTGTTCATTATACTATAATTACAAAGGTTACTTTAGCATTATGTTACTCTCAGTGGTTAATGCTACTTATGAATTCCTGTATGTGGACATTGGCAGTAATGGAAGAATCTCCGATGGCGGTGTGATGGAGCGGAGTGATTTCCACATGCGTCTACAGAATGGTTCCCTGAACCTACCAAACAATGAGGACACCATAGATGGCATGAATTTTGTCTTTGTCGCTGATGAAGCTTTTGCCCTTGGAGATCATCTACTGAAGCCCTTTCCCATGTGTGGTCTGACAGCACAGCAGCGCATATATAACTATCGCTTATCCCGTGCACGCAGAGTGGTGGAGAATGCGTTTGGCATAATGTCAAACCGATTCCGCATCCCATCAACATGAGTCTACAGAAAGTTGATGTTTTGCTGCACTGCTGCTGTACCCTACACAATTATCTAAGGCGTCAGGGCAACTCCTACATGCCCACACACATCCTAGACCAAGAGGATGTTGTGAGTGGCATCATACAGCCAGGGGAGTGGAGGCATGATGTGGATGCCCTTCATGGTTTGGAACCCATGCATGCACATTTGCCAACTACGTCCGCACGGCAGAACAGGCTAAAATACTTACAGTATTTCAATGGCCCTGGTGCAGTGGAATGGCAGGGACGCATGTAGTCCCTGCCATTCCATATCTAAAACATGTAAAACATATGGAGTTATGCATTATTGGTTGTGTTCAATAAACCTTATGATTTCTCTATTTCAATCTGTGTGTTCTACATACATTTGGGGGTTACACAACAATTATTACTTGTAAACTCACATGGTCATTACATCATGCATTACATGCATGTTCTCCACAATTTCCGTGGAAGGTTCTTCGCTATCGAACGCAGCACTCTCTTCTTGAGTAGGTGGTGCTTGCAGGCTGCTGACAGATGGCCGTGGTTCTTCATCATCATCCAGGAACCGCAGAGACTCATAGAACCAGAGCCTGGGCTGGTACACATCATCAGCAGCCGCGCCTGACTTGTGGGATGGCTAACTTTCTTCTGCTCTTTCCTATAGACGGTCCGTAGATTAGCTATCTTCAGTTTCACGTAATTTATGTCTGCACATGGCGAGATGGTCGTACATAATTCTGCTAGTTTCATATAAGCCTCCGTTCACTTGGAGTGATTACAATAATCATTGCTCCGCACTCTCCACAGACATGGTAGTTCGCGATATAGATCAATGAATTGGGTCAGGAATTCCGGATGAGTGAAATGCTCTGTCATAATGCTTGTGGAATTGAGAGACAGACCGATTCGTGGGTGTCCAATCCTCAACCTGGCCATGCAAAAAACAATTCCCACCCCTACACATTGTAGGACTATGTGTGCCCCAATGGTTTATATCCAACTTGGACATGTGGTAATGGGCAGTGACATATTATCAATAGGGAAACATATAGATATGGTGCGGTATGAGAAAAACACACATGTGCCAGGCACATCGTCAAAACATAACATACACCTGCCTCAACCAGGCCCTGACCTTCATGCTAGTGTTATGAACATGGTGCTCATTCCAATGTTGTCCATGTGTGACACACTGCAGTAGGCCCATTTGTCAGCCACATCCTGCTCCTTTCCAAACATAGCTTGGTGCAAATGCATGTGAAGCACATGGTAGGCAATGTCATTGGGAATAGTGTTCATCTGTGCTTCTGGTTGATCTGTGCCCCAGATATGAAACATGTCACCTCCACTTCTGGTTAGTTTGTCTAATGCCATAGAGTCACTTAATGTGCTATGGTCTGCTACACATACCCTCCTGTCATGCATTGCCTACGGTTTGTTATGGAATACTACATTCCAGCCAACGAGCGACCGTTTGTTAGAAAAAGTATGGCTTCCCTAGAGGCCAGAAATACGAAAGCCCGACTTGCGGAGACCCGTTGGCCACACCCTTTCATACAGGTGCGTACGATTACCCCTTCGTACGGAACCACTGGCCCAGACTGAAAAAATGGAGGGACAATCAAGGTCACAGGGAAAGACCACTGCTGCAAAGGGGAAGGATAGCAGGCCAAAGAGGGCATCTTGTATGTCCTTACAGGAAATGGTGGAGTTGGTGGACATAATGGAGCAGCAGGATTCTCGATCAAGTGATTGAGAGCTTGCAGGCCAAGTTCAATGTCACCAGGTCCAAAGCATGCACAGCTGTAATGTAGTTTGAAAGATCTGATGTATTTTCTTCCTCCAACTTTCATATCTGTCCATGAAAAGCTGTAGAAGACAAAGTGTCATTCTATGCATCATGTCTAGACCTGTGACACATATATGTACATGTTGTTGATGGCGCATATGACTATTGTATTTTTCTGATGTTAAAGGACAGAGGAGTGTGGAGCAGAGGAGCCAGGGCAGCGAGGGTGCTTCAGAGGTGGCTATGTATCAAACAGTTGTGGAGGAGCCTGACGTGGTGGTCGAGGTTGTGGACTCCTCTTTGTCCTCTTCTTCTGGTATGTCCTGTTGTATGACAACATTAGGGCATGGTCTAAGTACTTCACATGTTTATGACCTCCATGTGTTGATTCCATTACAGTTAATGTGGACCTTGTTGACAGCGAGGAGAAAAGTCCGTTGTCAGAGAGCTCAGGTTCTGGTATGTGGACTTTAATGCATGTTAAATGACATATGAGCTTATTATATGCTGCATGTTAAGCTTTCCATTGCCTTTTTTCCATGATAGTGGTAATTGAGGAAGCTGCGTCAGAGGGGAGCGAGAGCGTAGCCGGACCTTCCTCCACTTTGCCATCTGGTATGTCCGTTTTTTGACAAATGACATACCCACTGAATTTGGGAACATATTGTAATTGCGTGTTGTATTTGATGATTACATTACAGGTCATGTTGTATCACCAGAACAGGGACGGGCACCAGTGGGTGGAGTTTGCGCTGCTGTTAGCCACTGTTGCGCCGCCCTTGAAGATGTGATGGAGCACATGGTGGAGTTGAGGCGGGCTCTCCAGGATGTGCGTGAGAAGGTCATGAAGCTGTAGGAGACATCGGCTCCCCGTTTTGCCACATTTGCCACGTTGGCATTTGCACTGCCCTGCCCCTGTTTACAAGCCCCCTTGTTTTACTTGAATTTATATTTATTCGTTTTTCTATATAAATATGTTATTAATTATGCATTGTGTCAGTGTCCTCATTTCAGGCATGACCGCTTTACAGTCTTCCTGCTTGACTGATGCTGTGCATGCGTTTGTCAGGGATATTTCTTTGTGGGAATGTGTGCTTTGCCTGATGCATGTCGCAGCTGTGCAATGGCCAGGGACACACAGCATACACATGTGTAGGGCGTACTTGAAAATTTGACTTTTATCCAACTGTGTCCGAAAGTAGAATGGACATGTTATTCATGTTGCATGGTTTGCGTACGATGGGGTTCATGGCAATTATTAGGGGGTTACTTTCAGCAGCATCATGTGTGGTGCACATGGGGAGTGGTCCACATGTGTGTCAGCTACATGAGGAGATATGGATTTTGGTGTGAAAATTGGTTACTGCATCTGTACTCAACATGTAGCCCCAGCAATGGCTGAGCGATGAGGGTACCAGAACAGAGAAGTGGATGCTG